AACAACAACAACAACAACAACAACAACAACAACAACAACAACAACAACACCAACACCAACAAAAACAACAACAATAACAACAACAACAACTACAACAACAACAATAACAACCACAACCACGACAACGACAACGATAACGACAACAACAACACCAACACCAACAACAACAACAACAACAGCAACAGCAACAGCAACAGCAACAGCAACAACAACAGCAACAACAACAAACAACAATCAGTTTAAGACGATTCGCTCTTACTGGCACGCGTGTCTTGCATTCCGTATAACCCCAACCCTCGATACCCACCCACTTCGTCTTCGCTTGTACCCCTTTTCGGGGGGAATCTCTTCCTTGTCGGCCACCGACTGAAGTGCGAGGAACTCTCGAGCGAGAGCGCCGCTCCTGAGTTCGGGGACCTCTCTTGCCAAGGGCTCTCGGAATACCAATGGAGAAATATCGAACGGGAGCCCTTGTCGCCGTGCCCGGGCCTCCACCAACCTGCCTGAATTACGGGAAAGTCTCCAGCGAGAGCGCCGTTCCTGAGTTCGGGGGCCTTCTTGGCCAGGGGCTCTCGGAGCAAATCGTGAGGAAGTAGCGAGCAGGAGCACCATGTCTTCGTGGCTGGGCCTCCGCCAACTTCATTGAATTGCGAGGAAGTCTCGAGCGAGAGCGCCATTCCTGAGTTCGGGGGCCTCTCTGGCCAGAGTGTCTCGGGGTAAATTGTGAGGAAGTACCGAGCGGAAACCGTTGTTGTCGTAGCTGGGCCTCCAAGGGCACACATTTAGGCTCAAGCCAACGCTCGAGCGGGAGCCTCGCTGTCAGCGAAAATGTAGCCGGCGTCGAGGCGAGAGCGCGCGGAACCGTTTCCGGAGATCAGCAATATTTGTTATTGGGAAATGACTATTCAAGAACAACAACAACAACAACAACAACAACAACAACAACAACAACAACAACACAACAACAACAACAACAACAACAACAACAACAACAACAACAACAACAACAACAATAACAATAACAATAACAATAATGACAATACGAATCAAATCTACAACAGCAACAGCAGCAACAGCAGCAGCAACAACAGCATCAACAGCAGCAACAACGACAAGAATAATAATAAGCACAACAACAACAACAACAGCAGCAGCAGCAACAACAACAACAACCACAACAACCACAACAACAAAAGCAATCAGTTTGAGACTGTGCGCTCTTACCTGCTCGCGTGCCGCTCATATCCCACACCCTCGATACCCGCGCTCTTCGCCTTCGACCGTGCCCCCTCGGGGGTATATCTCCCTTACCTGCCACGTACATGCAGCGCAGCCCGTAAAACAGGGTAAGGGAGGGCGGACGGGGGAGGAAGAAGGATGGAGCAGAGAGAGATTAGCAGGACGCTGGGGCCAGGAGCAGAAAACACGTGGCAGAACCAGACGGGCTGATCGGGCGGGCAGTCCCTACAAGAATGGGAGGGTCGGGAAGGCGGGCCAAGGCGGCCAGGTCGAGCAGGCGGGTTGCTGAAGTGAGAGTTCTGCATGAATCGCGAGGAAGTCTCGAGCGATTGTGCGATTGCCTATGTAATCGTGATCAAAAAGGCAGGATCAAGATTCCTGAGCGTCGAGGGCGCCGACTTTGGATAGATTGCGAGAAGGTCCCACGAGAGAGCGCGATTCCTGTATAAATTATGAGAAAGTCCTGCGCGAGAGCGCGATTTGGGAATGAATTGTGAGGCAGTATTAGGCGAGAGCCGCTGTTGTTGCAAACGTGGGCTCAACAACACAGTTTGGGGACACCCCGCTTGCCCTTGTAAAAAACAGGGTGCAAGGCCCAGAAGGAGTGCTTCATTAAAAAAACTACAACGGTTACCAGGCAGGGGGGGCAATAATAAATATTCGTTCGAAATAAGAGTTCCAACAACAACAGCAGCAGCAGCAGCAGCAACAGCAATAGCAACAGCAACAGCAACAGCAACAACAACAACAACAACAACAGCAGCAGCACCAACAACAATAACAACAATAACAACAATCATTTCGAGACTGCTCGCTCTTCCCTGCTAGCGTGCCATTCAACACGTACATCCCAACCCTCGGTACCGGCCCTCTTCGTCTTCGATCGTACCCTCCTGGGGGCACATCTTCCTTACCTGCCGCGCGTAATTGGTGCAGCCGCAGCCCCTGAAACAGGGGAAGAGAAGACGGATGGAAGGGGGAGGGAGCAGGATGCAACACGGGATTAGCAGGAGGGAGGCCAGGAGCAGAAACCACGTGGCAAAATCAGGCTGGTCCATCGGGCGGGTAGACCCTAACGGGCGGGTCAGGAAGGCGGGCCAAGCGATCAGGTCGAAAAGGCGTGTTGCTGAAGCGTGAGTACTGCATGAGTCGCGAGGAGAGCTCGAGCGATAGCGCGATTCCCAAGTGAGCCGTGAGAGAGACCAAAGCGAGAGCATGATTCCTGAGCGTCGGGGGCGCGGCGTCTGAATAAATTCCGAGGACGTCCCACGCGAGAGCGCGATTCCTGCATAACTTGTGGGGGTAAGTCCCCCTCGAGAGCGCCATTTTGGAGTAAATCAAGCGTGAGCCGTCGGTTGTTGTAAGTCGGGGGCCGGGGGCGCAGTCTGGTGACACCAAGCTTTCCCTGATAAAAAAGGTGCGATTCCCTAGGGGAATACTTCAATTGAAAAATACAATGGTTACTGCAGTGGGAATCAACTATACGTACCCTTTAAGAGTGAGAGCTCAACAACAACGACGAAAACAGCAACAGCAGCAACAACACTTCTAATACTCTTCGCTCTTATCCACTCGCCTGGCATTGAACACGTATACCCCAAATCATCGATACCCGCCCTCTTCGTCTTCAGTCGTACTTCCTTCGGGGTAAACCTTTCTTGCCTGGAACTTACATGTCGTGCAGCCCCTTGGGCAGGAGAAGAGAGGAAGGATGGAAGGAAGGGACAAGGGAGAGAGGGGAGGATGAAGCACGAGAGAGATTAGCAAGACGCTGGGGCCAGGAGCAGAAAACACGTGGCAGAACCAGACGGGCAGATCGGGCGGGCATACCCTAACGGGCAGATCTGGAAGGCGGGCCCAGGCGGCCAGGTCGAGCAGGCGGGCTGCTGAAGCATGCGTCCTGCATGAATCGCGAGGA